TGTTGGTGTCCTCAGTCAGTTCATGCATGCTCCTAGGTCTTCTCATCTTGAAGCAGCAGAGAGAATCCTCCGATATCTAAAGAAGTATCCGGGTACTGGTTTGTTATTTCAAAAGCACGGACATTTGAAAGTTGAAGTTTATACAGATGCAGATTGGGCTGGATCCCAAAGTGACAGAAAGTCTACCAGTGTCTACTGCACTTATAGGAGGGAACCTTGTTACATGGAGAAGTAAAAAGCAAAATGTGGTGGCTAGATCCAGTGCTGAAGTTGAATATCGTGCTATGGCCCACGGGGTCGCTGAAGGCATGTGGATAAAGAATTTGTTGGGGGAGTTGGGTTTCCCAGTGACCAAACCTATAACTCTATTTTGTGATAACAAAGCAGCTATAAGCATTGCTGCCAATCCGGTGCTACATGATAGAACAAAGCACATCGAAGTTGACAAGCATTTTATCAGAGAGAAAGTTATCACAGGCGAAGTGTGTACCCATTATGTCACTTCTGAGAACCAGCTTGCAGACATCTTTACAAAGGGTTTAAACCTTTCCAGACATCATGATCTTTGTAACAAGTTGGGCATGATTGATATCTATGCTCCAACTTGAGGGGGAGTGTTGACAGTTGTTTATATATTCAGGTCTAGTACCATAAGGGTACTATTGTAATTTCCCTTCTGTTTATATTGTTCGACTGTACTAGTATAAATAATAAAATTATTCTTTTGCCCCCTATGTTCTGGAGGGCTTTCAGTCACTCGACTCACCTCTCTTCTCTCTTCTCCTCTCCTCTCTTCACTTGCTCTTGCTCAACAATTTTGAAGCCAATTCATTAGAAGAGAGTTTGGAATAGGAAAACGGTTGTGGTGAATTTGGAGGAGGATTTGTGTGCTGACATCTTGTTTGTTGAAGAGATGAAATGCAATCAATAGCGCCTCATCTTTGATTTTTTTTTGATCAATCGCCTCATATTTGATTCCAATGGCAAATGGTGTTGGTTGTCTCCAGGCGGAGTTTGTTGAGAATGTTGGGGATTGAAACCAAATTCTATTTAAGGGGAAACCAAAACCATATTCTAATATTAGATAGGGTGTCCGTAAGAGTTTGGTGGAGGCTAACTTGAAGTCAAGTAGTGGGATATTGCGAGAGGATAAGCCACAGAACAATGGGAGTAAACAGATTGTTGGTGCTACTGGTATAAATAGCAAGCTCCAATCTATTGCACAGGAAAGTTGTCTGGCCACACGTAAGACAGTTGAGCCCCCCTAATTTCTGAATCTAGGTAACCTTGTGAATTTTGGTTTTGTGACTAACCCTTGCTCTTGCTCTTTGACTGATGCCTCCTCTCCAGGTTCCCGGGAGACTTTCACACTGCAAGTTGCAAACAGGGTTGTGAGTGAGGAGGAAGTAGTTGTGGAGGAGGAGAAAGGGAGGAAAATCTGGAAACTGATAGAGAGCTTTTTGGAGGAAATGAAGAGAAAAGAATTAGAGGATGAGGCAAAGTCAAGGGGGAGATTAGTAGAAAATATTGTTGGTGCTATTAATGGGGAATGCTCTGGGGATCCTAGGGTGGAGGGTGGTGTTATAGAGAAGGAAAAATCAATTGCAGAATTTGTGGATAAATTGAGATGCAAGTTAAAAGAGCCAAGCAACTTAAACACCTTGTGAGGAAAAAGAAGGAAGTGGGTGGGGGAAGGAAAGGGGAATTGAGAGAGGTTGAAAGACTGAAAAAAGATGTAGAAGGGGATAAAGAATGCAGTGGCAGAAAAGGAAGGGTAAGGGCAACAAGTAGGGAGGATTACGATCAAGGGCCTTAAAATTGGGTGACGATGAATTGGTGGGCAGATTTATGTCTCAATAAAATTTAGACAAGTTACAGATGGCTTTGAATGGGTGTTGATAAATGTGTATGGTTCCAATGGATATAGGGAAAGAAATGAATTCTAGGAGTTGGAGGACATTAGAGGGTTCTGGGGTGGGCTGTGGTGTCTGGGGGGGTGCTTTTAATGCTGCTAGATTCACTGAAGAGACTACTAGTCCGAGACAGAGAATAAGCACAAGTATGATGAAGTTCAGTCAATTTATTGAAGGATGTGAGCTTAAAGAGTTGCAGTTGGCCTACAGTAAATTTACTTGGCTAATTTGCAGTCCAATTCGATTTGTTCTAAACTAGATAGATTCCTTTTCACATTGGATTGGAATGAGCATTGGGGCAACCTAGTTTCTAGAGCCCTACCTAGGATCGCATCCGACCATTGGCCTATTTCCCGTTTTTAAGGAAGATTTGGGTGGGAGAGATCTGCACAATTCAGGTTTGAGAATACGTGGCTATGTGCAATTGGATTTACAGAAAAAGGTTAAGGAATGGTGGGAGGAAAGCAAAATTAAGGAGCTCAAAGTCAAAATTAAGGAGTGGAACGTCCATTGGTTCAGGATACTTAAGGAGAGGAAGCAAGATCTAATTAGTAGGAATTGAGGATCTAGATGCAAAAGAAAATTCAGGCATGTTTGAAGAAAGGGATAGAGAAGAAAGGTGTTCTTTAAGGAGACAACTGGAAGATCTTTTTCTGAAATAAGAAATAAGTTGGAGACAAAAATCAAGGAATAAAGGGTCCTGTACCCATGACTTCTAGTTGCTTCCTAACTTTAAATGAGTTCATGTCAAGGCTGTCAGTGTCCTTTTGCATGAATGACTTGTATGTACACATGTAAATCAAGGGTGATAGTAGATCTCTCTCTCTCTCTCTCTCTCTCTCTCTTTGTGTGTGTGTGTGTCAAAACATCATTGGTTCATGTTATCTTTCTTTTTCTACTACTTTAATAGGACGAACTTGGTTCAATCAAGCTTAAAATGGACACTTAGGTAACATTTGGAATATAAGTAGAAGTTGTCAAGGTTTTGAGGAAGGTTGAGTTGGAATTAAACACTAGAGGAAGTTCCAGCTTCTTGGTTGAAGTTCTAACTCCAACTAAAATCCAACGTTACACCTAATGGGTTTGATGCTGACTCAACATCTACAGAAACTAGTTCCATTTCTCAATATGCTTCCACTAATATGAAAAGAAACCATGTTTTGCAGGCTGTAGGATGGACAACCATCGTACATCTGGTTGTGCTTCTGCTACTGCTGCCACCATGCCACTACTACTACCTTTATTTTGAGCAAGGTAATTTTGTTCCTTTGATGATTAAACTTTGAATTATGCTTCTCTTTATTTATTTATTTATTTTTGCACACTGAAATAGTTCTTTTCAGTCCAGGGATGGGGGATCTGTTTGGCATCTCAACAAAGATGGCAAAGTTATATCTGCTGTATTGATTCATATTGTGACCTCAAAAATTGCAAACATGTGGAAGAGGCAACTATTATATGACGAGGAAGAAGATCACTTCTTTTTTACTCATTTAAGCCTAAGATTGGAAGAAAAGTGTGTTGCAGTGTATATCTCGACCAAACTGCAAGGTATTTGATTAAAGCAAGAAATGTATGTGTTCCAATAATGATTGGTGGTTGATCTGTCTATCCAAATTGTAATTCCACAAGTTGCTACATTATTCTCTTTGTTTTCATTTCTTTGCATTTTGGGAAAGGCAAAGATTTTAAGATGTAGAAGGAAGATCTTAGTTTACCATGCAGTGTAATGCCCTGCTGTTGGGAAGTGTATAATGAAAAAAATGTCATTCTTTTACTGCCTTAATCGGAATGGGATAAACAACTCTTGGGGTAGCAGCAGGGCACATGTTTACGGTTTACCAGTGGGCTGTGTGATTGCATGGAAAACAAGGGAAAACGATTGATTTTCTCAGGAAATGAAATCCAGTACGAAAAATTGAACCTTCCTAATTTTCATTTTCATGGTGTTTGACTTTGCTGTAAATGTAAATCTAAGTACTTGAGAAATATCTGGGTGTTGTGAGGTTTGAATTAGGGATGCAACCCTTTTTGGAAAGTTAATTTATGGGCATAAGGAAGATTATTTTTCTTTATCTAAGCTCATTCTGGAAAGTGGAAACATTAATTTTTTTTTTTTTTCCATGGCCACTTTATATGCAACCACACACCATAAAAATAGTATTGTCTGTGGAAGTAGTCCTTTTTTTTTTTCATTTCAGAGCATTCAAATGGAGCCGTGATGGACTAGGTAGTAAAAGTAAACTTTTTCTGGCCTTGTATACACACTATCACCGAGTCTCAATCTCTATTGAATCAAAACAACTTTTTATGTCATGAAAAAAAACTTAAAAAAGAGTTACAAATGGTATATATAAATCCAAATTCAATTTTTTTATTAACTCTATCCATTTATAAATTGGATCAAATAAAATCCGTCCCAATCTTATCATACTTGATATCAAAGTTCAAAATATTGTAATGCATGTAGATGTATATTGTATGATACTTATTAATTTTTTAGTCCATCTACACACTGAATACAAGAAAATAGGAATTAATGACACGTGGCAGTTTTAAATAACATTAATATGTAAGTATTAGTAGTAGTATAGTAGCCATCGACTGAAATTAATATAATGGAAGGGTATAGATGAGCCCTTATACTAATAAATAAATTTTTAAATATCCAACATATTGATGCTTTCAATCATGGCTGATATCCATATAAAATTAAGGACAAACTACATAGTAATGCTCAAGTCCCTCAACTTTTATTTGCAACTGTATATTTAGGTTTCAACACTCTGCTCCCACTTTTAGCATTCTATATTTCTATCAGTTTAACTTTTATGAGATCATTTTGCATTTTTGCCTTTTCTTTATTGTATCTCTTGGGCGGTTGGGCCTAATAAGTTTATTCTGAACTTTGAGAGAGAGAGAGATGATAAAAAATGATGAAAGAGAAGATAGGAAAAGAAATAAAAACCTTTTTGAGCTGGAGGAGAGGGCAAAGTGAAATCTGGATCTGCTCCTCACAAAGCGTTCCTCACACTGCTTCTAGCCACACATTGGGAACATCTCCCGTACTTTATGTTGTTATTCATAGGGAGATGTTCTCAATACACAGTGGGATAGAGCTGTGAGGTTGGTGCCAACTCTACGAGGAGCAAATGATTTGGCAAAATGGTCTTAAAAAATGAAAATAGCAAAATAAATAGAAGATAAGAAAGGTTTAAAACTTGGGCAAAATGATTACATGAAAGTTCAAAGATGATAAAATGCTTAAAGGAACAATGTCAAAAGTACAAGATTCTCTATGACAAAAAGAAAGTTTGGGGACCTAAGTGACACTAACTCAAAAGTTTAGGGTTATTCTCAGTATTTTTGGCCCTAATGATAATTTATATTTATTAGTATTGGTTTAAATGATGTATATTTATTTAAGAGCCTTTTTTCCTTGTATGTACTATCAAATTAATTTTTAATCCATTTTATTAATGATATATAATATTCTGATCATTCTTAATTTATTGCATTAACTCTTTTGAATATCCTAATCAAATTACAATCCGATATAATAAGATTCAGATCCAAATACTGATATTGGCATTTTGATCATAATATATCCGGTTCAATCCGATTCATTTGCAACCCTTCTGTTGTTGGGGGACTATAGCCAAATTTATTACTCTTCAAATCTGGCGCTTGATCCATTCGGATTTCGGAGTCCAAAATGGCATGAGCTCCGAAATCTCAAAATAACAAAATTGCCCTCGTAATCTCGACCACAATTCCACAAAGAATCTTTCGAACAGGAACCGGCGAGCGGACCACAAATCATCTGCTTGTCAAATTGAAATTGCAGTAGCGTGCGGTTCACGCATCATAAACGACAAAAACAGAAGCAGCGCGTGCATCGCACGCAAGTTCAGTTACTATTCCCATCATCTTGCTTTCTCTCCGGACCTTGGCCTGAAAAAGAATTCTCAGACACGCGAAGCCGTCGCCGGCGAGGGAGACGGAACCTAGCACCCTCGAGGTGTCTCTCTCTGTTCGTTATTTCCTGGAGGGTTGTTCCTTTCCCCCGCTGTAGTGGAATTAGACCCTACATTCGTCTGATTGTGGGAACAAGATTTCTTGGGTATGATTCTGTTCGGGTTTCCGCGGATTGGCTATCAGAAGCTCCTAATTTGATGTTTGACCTCTCAGTTTCAGAGCAGAAAATACAGTTTATCCGGGTGCAGGGTCTGTGAGTTGTGGATTTCAAACAACCTCCCAAACCCTATTGGGTTTGCGGATAAGATTGTGGGGAAGCCAAGGTACAATTTTAGTCTCTAGTTGTTTGTTTATTTATTCATTTTGTTTCAGATTTCAATTCAATTATGTCGCAGTTGAGTGTGACAAAGTCAAAACAACCACTCTGTACCTTTCAGTTAGTATCTTTTAAGGAGATAAAATAAGCTTTACTTTGAGAACAAAATATAAGGTGAAAGGGGCCTGATAACTGAATGTAATCAGTGGCCTTAGTTTTGAACTTGTTTATTCGAATATGGTTGTTTGTGGAGTCATGTGGTCTGCAATCTCGTATGTACAGTTCCTTTTTGTGTACTGTGTTATGAGACCCTCCTTATGTATGATTGTATGTCATTTAATTTTGGTCTTGTTATATCCTGCATATATTATTTGTTATGCCATTTTCAAAACTATGGATGTTCACTGTGTTTCACTAATTTTTTCCATACTTTTTTTTGGCATAGGACAGAGGAATCTATTGATTCAAAGGTTAAGGTTTCTACATGGAAATAGACCTTGAAGTAAATGCAGATGAACATGAAATGGAAGACTCTAGATCTAATGGATTTGGAAATACAATGAGTGAAGGAGAGACACAAAGAGAGGATGAATTGGCGTTGAATTTTCCATCTGTTGATCATGCTTTTGCTGAAGAGGATGAAAATTTTGAGCCTTGTAAGGGAATGGAATTTGATTCTCATGAGGAAGCATATCTGTTTTATGAAGAATATGCTAGGTCATTAGGATTCACAATCAAGAAGAAGAATACCCGACGTTCAACTCTGACAGGGAAGTTCATTGATGCACATTTTGCATGCTTTAGACAAGGAAGCTATCGTCAAAAGGGTGAAGCTGTTAACTCACGACCTTCTCATAGGACAGATTGCAAAGCAAGCATGCATGTGAAAAGAAGACAAGACGGAAAGTGGGTTGTGCATAATTTTGTAAAAGAGCATAATCATGAGCTTTTGCCTGCTCGAGCATTTTTCTTCCGACGGCGCAGGAGCATGAGTCTAATTAGCAAGAAAATTTTAGATATTTTACACATTGCCCAGATACAAACAAGTAATGTTTGTGCTATGATGTCCTCCAATCAACACAGTGGATATCAAAGTGTTGATTGTCCAGAGGAGGACATTAGGAATCAAATGGATAGAGAAGGGCGATTGGCTATAGAATCAGAGGATGCACGAGCTATGCTTGATCATTTTATGCATATGCAAGAGGAGAATCCTAACTTCTTCTATGTAATTGATTTGAATGATGAACAGCGTTTGAGAAATGTTTTCTGGGTTGATGTTAAAGGAAGGAATGATTATTTCAGTTATGGTGATGTGGTTTATTTTGACACTACATATCTTGCAAAGAAATATAAGGTTCCTTTTGTTCCTCTTGTTGGCTTGAATCATCATTTTCAGCCAATATTGTTTGGATGTGCTTTACTTGCGGATAAGGCTAGACCAACGTTTATTTGGTTAATGCGTACATGGCTCAAAGTAATGGGTGGTGTAGCTCCAAAAGTCATAATTACTAACCAAGAAAAAGCCGTGAAGGCAGCTGTTGCAGAGGTCTTCCCAAATATACACCATCAATTTTGTTTGTGGCATATATTAAGGAGTGTTACTGAGAAGCTTGGTCATGTAATTGAAAGAAATAAAAACTTTATTGAAGAGTTTAATAATTGTGTTTTCAGGTCATGGACAGAGGGCGAGTTTGAAAATCAATGGTTGAAAATGATTGAAAATTTTGAAATTCAAGAGGATGATTGGATTATAACATTGTATGAAGACCGGAAACATTGGGTGCCAGCTTATATAAAAGATACTTCTCTTGTCGGGATGTCAAGCACCCATCAATCTGAGAATATAAGCTCTTTCTTTGACAAGTATGTATACAAAAATACCCCATTGAAAGAATTTTTAGTGCAGTACAAAGTTATTCAACAAGATAGTCATGATGAGGAATCTAAAGCAGATTTTGATACATGGCATGGGGTACCTACTTTAAAAACTCATTCACCTTATGAAAAGCAAATGTCAACAATCTATACACATGAAATATTCAGAAAGTTTCAAGTTGAAGTTTCGGGAATAGTTGCATGCCATCCTAGAAAGGAGAAAGAAGATGGGACCAAGATAATATATACAGTCCTTGACTATGAGGCACAAAAGGAATACATAGTGGCCTGGGATGAAACAAAGTCAGAGGTGTCTTGTTTGTGTCATTTGTTTGAATATAAAGGCTTTCTTTGCAGGCATGCAATGATTGTTCTCCAATTTTCAGCTGTGACTGAAATCCCATCTCAGTATATATTGAAACGGTGGACAAAAGATGCAAGGAGCAGGCATGCCATCGGACAGAGATCTGAGGAAGTAGACTCCAGGGCAAAACGCTGCAATGATTTGTGTCAGCGGGCCATTAATTTGGGGATTGAGGCTTCAATATCTCAAGAGAGTTACGATATTGCAGTTCAAGCACTTGAGGAAGCTATAAGAAAATCTACAAAGGTAAATAACTCTATAAAGTATACCACAAAGCCCAGCGCATCAGCAGTTCATGGTGGTTTTGGCACTGAAGAGACCATGCAAAGGCTGGTATGTTCAACTAAATATTATGATCATTGTGGAGTTGCACAAAATTGTAGTTTTCCTGATAATATGTTTATCAAATATAATGTAGTAATCATTGGTTCTTACACTGTGTTTCCACGCATGTAGGAGCATTTAAGTTCAATGATGCCAGCTTGTGATGACCAATATGACATACAACAGAGATTTTGAGGGTTGGTACCACATGCTATAACTATGATATAATTATTAAGAAATTTTGTTTTCTGTCCATATGCAATACTTATATATTAATCTCCATTTTTGTTTTTGGGATTTCACTTGCTACAGGGATGATTAAATGCAATTCTAGTAACACTTAAAAGTTACTATGGAAATCAACAGAGCATGCAGGATGATAAATATATGGGGTTGAGATATGTACCCAATTTGGTTTTTGATTAAATATTAGATAGATTCAAACTTTGGCAAGGTGGAAAATTTGTAGAGGTGTTAAAATTGTATGGTTAGCAGTTTTTCCTTGATTAGCTGCTTGCTCTTTTTATGATTTAAATTTGCCAACTATCTTTCATGACGTAATCAACTAGTCATGCCAACTAAATTGTAGCAGGAAGCCCTCCATTTTGTACTTAGCCATATAGGCTATTGCACTCACAAAAAATGATGTCAAAGTATTGTGATAATGATTTGAAATTTTAGTCATACCTCCTCTTGTCATTTGTTTAACATTGCTGTCATTAGAGCAACTGAACAACTGATATTAATTGATTGAATTTATGAGAGATAACAATTGGTTGATATTTAGAAGGATTTTTCATTTTGTTTTGGTCTTCTTGGATTAGTGAAACAGTAGTACCAAATTTTTGTTTTCCAATTCCAAGGGTTTCAGATAAAAAGAATTTGGGTGCCACATCTTGCTACTTAATGCTAGCATCCCTGTCATTCATTCAAAAGGTTGCTGGCTATGTGGTTACTAACAATCCTATTAGTGAACAGTCATCCATTGAATAGATCGGTAGTGAATGATGTGTTGTCACTGCTGTTGTGGCTTAGATGGGCGTAAGAAGAGCTTGAAGTGTTTACCTAAGCACAATAAACTCTAACCATGTGCCTAAGAAATATTTTAGGAGGTTATGTTATGCTGTTCAGAAGGGTCTGGTTTCTATACCTATACTGAGGTGGCAACCAGTAATGTTTTATGTGTTTCATTAATCACCTTTTCATGTGGCAACTGTTGGAACAGTAGTTGAATTTCATAAAGTCATAGTGAGCATTAGGTAGGGCAACCTCATTGAAGTGTCATGTCTGCATGTTTGCGCTAAATATGTGAATTTACTTTGATTCCTGAACATGAGCGGCATCTCTCCAATCACTTATTTGTTGCTTGGTGTCATTGGTGGTATCCATTTTGGCTAGAGGTCCTGTAATACTAACTTGTGATTTCTGTAAGGCAGTTATGAACATGAATAGGGGCCATTACTGGGTGTAATGGTAAAATCTCAGGCTGGCAAATATGAGAATGCAGGTTCAAGTCTAAGAGAGGCCACTTGCAAAAAATGCCAAAGGTTAGGACCGTATCCAGTCTACCCCTCCCAAAACCCCAGATAGCTGGGACCAACATTGGGTAATAACTTTTTTATTTACAAACATGAAGTGCTTTTTATGAAATGCATGCTTCCATTTGATGTTGGTTATTCTTACACAATTTACTCGTGTAGTCTGTACTCAGTACCAAGCTGTATTACTTTACGTTTTGTTAATAGCCATATTCAGCTATTTTTCTATGCATTTTTTATTTTCTATTTTGTTAGCTGTCATGGTATTTAACTTGTTTCATAATATACTTATAAATGCCATGGTACTTTTTGAGCCTTTTGAATTTGTAAGAGAATAGGTTGTGTAGTAACTTGTCTAGGAGAGCCCTAAAACCTCTGACCTCACTAGCAAACCTTCTTGTCCAGAGCATAGTTTTCAAGGCGCCAAGCCGAGGCTAGGCGACTGGGGGCGCCTTGTCACCTAGTCGCCTAGGCATCACCTAGGTGATGGATTTTTTATGTTAAAAACATAGATCTTAGGGTAGTTCCCTAGGTACCATAACCATATTTCTTTAATAATTATTCATGATTTTCATAAGAAAAGTATAAATTTCATATTGAAGTATAGAAAATCAACATATTCATGAGAAGAAAAGGAAGAAGGAAAATAGAGTTCAAAAATATAGGGGCTAAACCCTTATTTTTGTTATAGGAAAAGAAGAAACTAAAAAGTATTGGTAGTAGTAGAAGAGGAAAATGTGCGATTAGATAAAAATTTTTAGTTCTTCCTTACTTAGTGGTTCAGGTTTTTAAGTCTTTGAGGGTTCAATACAGCATTTAGCAATGTTTGTGTTAATTAAATCCTAATAAATAAGAAAATAATAAAAAGAAATTAGTATATAAACACACAAAATGATTATTTTAGTTTAATAATGTCTATTTTATAATTATAATCTCAAAAAAGGATGAATAAAAAAGTATTTTATAGTAGGAAGTAGAAAATGATTAGGCAATTAGGCGAGGTGAGCCTCAAATGGCGCCTTGTTGCCTAGGCATTGCCTAGGTGCCCGCCTTGACAACTATGGTCCAGAGCACATGATTAAAATTTGTGTGGTAAATATGTAGATTGAAAAATTAAGATTCTATGGTTTGGGTTTTAAATATATAACTGTTATATGCCATAAAGTAATTTCCAAGAGATAGGTATTTTTGGATAGCCTTCTATTTAGAATATGCTTCTTTTTCTAAGTAATTTTCAGATTTTTTTTTAAATTTGAGTTTAGGGTTTTGGTAATAATTCATTTAAGGAAATTTGTATTTTTGGATAGCCTTCTATTTAGAATATGCTTCTTTTTTCTAAGTAATTTTCAGATTTTTTTTTTAAATTTGAGTTTAGGGTTTTGGTAATAATTCATTTAAAGAAACTTCATATTTTGAGCTATTTTTAGCTCATGTTGAGTTGTTAGGGATGTTGTATCCCTGGCAACTGTGTTTGATAATTAAGGTTAAAAACAATGGTTTAACTGTCTTCCATTATAAGAAAAACAATGCTTTAAATCGGCACTTTATATCGAGTTGAATTAGACTGCATTTAGATCAAATAAAAAATCGAAATGGAAGTGGAAGTATGGGATCTGGGTCCAAAAAATGTATCCCGTTGATCACATTCACATTTGAAGAATGTTATCAAACCAAAAGGTCTCTTATTAAATGGACATACCATATTTGAATTTGGCATACAACCATAGTAGGCACGAACTACATTCCTCACAGCCGGGTGAATAAAAGAAGGGTCGTGGACCTCGTGGTGGAATCCTCCTTGGGTGAATGGCAGAGGATTAAAACCGGGGAATTGGATCATTTTTAGAACTTTTGCTTAGGTGAATTGCTAGAAAAGGCTACAACACATTAAGGCAGAATTCAACCGGTTTTTCCTCGCCCAACAAGCAAAATTCATGAAAATACATGTCCCACTTTGTCTCCAAGCTTATCATTTTTGGTGGAATGCCAATCTATACTCTTTAAGCCCTTTCAACTCTTCTGATATTCAAAGAGGCTTAAGCGAACAGCCTTTAAAATGACTCAGCCGATTTGGGTTCGTCTTATTTTTTTATCAAATATATGGTTTATAGGATGTCCATGTAGAATTCATTTTAGAAAGCCAAAAGCCACTGTACTTCAGTATGGGCATTTATTCAAAGACACTGAAGTGGACAGCCCTTCAAATGACTATCAGCGGGAGGGCTGAGTTGAATATTAATTAAGTTGGTTCAGCTGCTTTGAGTACTCTTTGAGTCTTGATAAGCAATCTAAAAGAGCTGAACAACACAGCCCAAAAAATAGCTGACAGTCGATTTGTCCGATTTTTCACCAGACATATATTTAAAGACTGTTTGCATAGGGCCTACCTTTGGAATATCAAGTGGGCCCTTATGGTTTATTTGTTTTTGTAATTAATGGCAATATTCCTGATCCACACTGTTTGGGTGGAGGTGATGCATGCCTTTTATTTTGGAAAGTAAAAATAACACTACTTATATAGCCAAAAATATTGTATATCAAATGTTAAAACCAGGTTGGTGAAACCACCAAATTCTGTAACCGACAAATATTTTTATAGACAAACTTAACCAAGGAAAAAGATTTAAATAACTTAAAACCAACATCCACCTTATAAAGACCAAAAACAATCTTGACCAAAACCGGAGCAGGCATCTATGGCAAGGAGATGTATGTGAGGCTGCAATTGTTTGCAGTGTATATGCCGGTTTGATACATAAATATATTATTCCTAGTATGTGAGGCTGCATTTGTTTGCCGGTTTGATATGTAGTTTAATTTTGCAAGGGTTTGTATAAATACATTTGTCCATTAAAATTGACAGCTATCATAACTTGTAAAGACATTTTTATATTCAAAATGAGAGAAAAGTTTGTATCAAAAAAGTTGATACAAACTTTGAACTCAAAATTGGTTAATGTAAAAAATGTGGATTTCAGTCTTGGAATGTGTATTTGTACTCATTACAACTAGGGGTGTTCATGAAAAACTGAATCGAATTGAGAAAATCGAACTAGAAAATGCGGTTAACTGATCCGATCAATTCGGTATTTTGAAAAATCGAAAGACCGATTCAGTTTTAGGCTACCCTAAAATACACTGACAGTTAATCAAACTGATCGGTATATGTATTTATATTTTATATATATTTTAAATAAATGTCACAAATTTTCTATATATATTAAATAAACATAGCACAAGTAATGTTTGTGCTATGCCGTAGAACCACTAATGATTGCCAGTCCTATCGGTTCATTATAAATAAAAATTTATATGAACCGTCGGGATGTCAAGGTTTCTACATGGAAATAGACCTTGAAGTAAATGCAGATGAATATGAAATGGAAGACTCTAGATCTGGATTTGGAAATACAATGAGTAAAGGAGAGACACAAAGAGAGGATGAATTGGCGTTGAATTTTCCATCTGTTGATCATGCTTTTGCTGAAGAGGATGAAAACTTTGAGCCTTGTAAGGGAATGGAATTTGATTCTCATGAGGAAGCATATCTGTTTTATGAAGAATATGCATATCATAGTATCGTTGTTCAGACAAACCAGCAAGGTTCAAAATATAGATACATGGCGTATCGGGTCATATCGGTACTTTGTTTTATACTTTTTTTTTTTTTTTTAAAACCGGTTCAGATGGGCCAGTTTAAGGCTCCTCCACCCCCTGTAGGGGCATATCGGAGAGCTCCCAAAAAGATAAGTGTCGATACATTGAACCTTGCAAACCAGGTTCCACACTGCGCTCCAGAATGTATCTCTTGTGCTTGAAGTTTCGATAATTCACGACGGCTTTGTCAGCATGCATTATTGTAGCATCCAATGATTCTCCAATGATTGAGCTTTGCAAAAGGTTCTCAAGATTCACATGATTTCCATCACAAGGCAGATCATTAGATCCAAACACAACATTAACTGTAGGAAAGGATAAGCTTGGTAGAGTTGTCTTGCCTGATTTGGCGGTCACACCTCCATATAGGAAATGGGTGTAGGTCCACCTTCATTGATATTTTCCAGTTAGAACTTAGAAACAGTATTTCCATCATTCTTTCCTGTATCATGCAAAATTAATCTAAAGTGTTCATACAGTTAGAGAAACACAATCAAAGAAAACTAATGAAAACACTACACAGAGAAACCCTTGCACACTAATCTGTTAGCCACGGAGAGGGCAAAAAGAAATCTAAAAGACTTACGAACGAGCAGGCGTGCAGCCATGTTGCAATTCCTACTACTAAAAGAGAAAACCACAGTAAGATACTTGGCCAGATCCAAAATATCCTGCAGATGGAACAAAATGTCAACTTCTACATGTAGACTAGGATGCTGAAGCCAAGAGATTGCTACTTTGTTTTTGCTTTTTACTATCACAAAATCCATATTCCAATGCTTAGCACAAATCAAAATCCTTGAGATTTATAATTCAAATCATGAATCACATTGTAAATTGTAAGATTTTGACAACCATGTTTTCAGCATCATATATGCAGTCCATCTAGACCATTTAGTGGATGTTGGCCAATGTATACGAACTGGACACTCCTTAATTGATGGCTGATGTATTGCAATCCCCAGAAATTCATCTATCAAAGGATCTGCATGGTTGAACCCACACCATAGTGTGAACTATTGGCAATCACAAAAACTCTGGCAAAGAAGATAGTTGGAATATGATCTGTTATTTCCAAGTTATGGACCACTGATGGACAATTGGGCTATGTTTGGTTTGACAGAATATGAGAGAAACAGAAAGTTGAGGAAAAGTTCCTAACAAATTTTGTAAAATTCCTAAGAACTTTCCCTCAACTTTCTGCTTCTCTCTTATTTTCTATCAAAACCAAACACAGGTTGGTTGCATAGACCTATATTTGGACAACTAAGAATGGAAAACTAGACAGTGTATAAGTCAGAATGCGAATATAACAAAAATATTGTTTCCATTTTCCACTTTCCAAACTTTGTGAACTAAATAACAGGACAAGTTCAGAATATGTTCATAGAATTGAAGATATGCTGAAACATGGTCCCTGTCCTGGTGAGCAATGGGTTATTGTCAGTTTATGCAAAGTACAGATGTATTGATTGTGGTCATACTTGAGGCAAATGAGAATTTTCATTTGTTAATCCATGGTTGAAAGACAAAGGCCCTGCAAAAGCCTTTTTTTTTTAGAATAGGTGAAAGTATTTCCATTAATTATGCAAAATAATTACAGTATCATCCATGCATAAAAGCACATTCATTGTAGTGTTTTCATGGCATCATGGTACCACTGATGTAACAGATAAATATAATGAGTATCACACTTAGGGTGTTCAAGAACAAATCAATCTCGTCTACCCCGCTGCACTGGATGTTGGTCCCACTGAAACATCCTCTCTTCTGCTTGATGCCTCTTCCACCATCTTCAAGGACAAATGTAGAATTGGTCTGACCACTGCTAAACAAAATGCACCAAAAGAAAGGACCATGGTTATTCCCAATAAAGCCTACCCCTACTTCTGTGTGTCCTTTGCTTATCAATAAGGATAGGGACTTTTTGTCCCGGACAAGAATGTCAGAGAAGGCTTGTGATGGTTCAATGTGCTTAAACTGACATCCTACTATGCGGCCAGATATGATGTCAAATGTGGGCAACTCTACACCACAATTGGGAGCAAAGATCTCAGTGAAGTCATCATCTGCAGGTTGGCAGCTTAAGGTGTTGTTGCTAGTACAGTTTGCTTTGCACTCCTCTGCATACTGCAAGGCCATACACCCAAGACCAGGATTGTCTTTTAGTATGGGGAGCTTTTGGGCTGTTCTATTCTCATTGATGATATTAACAAGCTCATTTGCAGGGTTTCCTGTATAACAATTGCATGGAATAATCCAAGACAAATAAGAGTACATCAGAAGGAATGGTATGCTTTCACATGTTATTTACCATCAAGGTATTCAGAAATCAAATTACAGATACCATATAAGTTTGAAGATATCAAAATACCATCTAAAAGGCCACTCAAATCTTTTCCTGTTATCAGCAAGGTCCACCGGGAACCTTATTTCATGGATTTGTAGGCCTGTTAGCTGGAACTTTGAGGAAGAGTGATGTTCACAATGGTAATCTTCACCTGAACTATATGATCACCGAGTTTGTAATTTTCCTGGGACTATTCAAGATGTAGTTCCAGGATTTTCTTGTATGTCTAAAACAATCATCAAATAAAACAGAAGAGCAGAGGTTTAATGCTGGGTGTACTGGCAGTAGCTTGTTCGTGGTTTTAAATAAGATCTAAATGGCATGTTACACAGGAAACTATAATCAGGGATTCTGATGGATATAATAATCTGGCTTCAAGTGAACAGTTTCCACACCAGTAAATGGGCAGATGAACTGATCTATGAAAGGCTGCATAACTACACCAGTAAATGGGCAGATGAACTGATCTATGAAAGGCTGCATAAATACTGTAATATGCTGCTATCTTAAACTAGCATCACAGTTATCTGTATTGCTTGGTTTCCTCACTCACCTAGACAGGAGCTCTCAACTCTTTAAGTATACCATTCCCATTCTAATTCCCATAATCCAGCACTTTCCGTGTCAATAATCTTGTTTGATTTAATTTTTATTTATTTGGGCTTCTTCTGATTCATCATTCATTATTTTCCGTTGGCTGACTTGAGAAAAAGCATTAAGAATTAAATACATGGGAAAATGTGGGAATAATTAGCTTAAGAAGAGGTACTGAGAAATTGGAATAACAAGAAAAATCACAAAATTCTTGCAGGACTTACTGTCACTCACCCACACAATAAGTGCATGTCTTGTATGTCTATGATATGACTTCAATAAAAGAATAATTATATTAAAGTAAATGATTGTAGGATCCTTGACTTTTCTGAGGCTGCAACTTCTTAGGGAATCATATATTTATATCAATATATTGGTACATACTGCATTGAAGAATATGCCCATGTTTTGTTCTGCTTACTCCTAGGAAAAAGGACAGCAATGATGGTAAACAGTGTTTACTGCTTTAATCAACCATTAAAATCAATTTATAGTAATTATGCCAGGTAAAAGGACATAAAACTGTCCTATCTATCCATCTAATAACATCATTTGAAAATGGAAATAAAAAACAAATCAGGTTTATGATGACTTAGGCTGCATGGAGGCCTATTTTTCAAACAATTTAAGAGATTGGATTGAACAATAGATCAATTGGAGGTTTCTCATACTGTCATACATCAGACAGGAGAACACAGGTACTTGAACAAACAATCAATGAATACATGAAAAGAGTGAAGTGAAAAAGAAGAACAAGAGTGATACATCTAAAATCGAAAAAAAAATCTGTGTAAGAAAGAGTTGCACACCGATACAATGTATGAAACACTGATTTTGCAAAATCTGAAAACTTACACATTTACAAAGTTCATTTCACAAGTTGAACTCTGCAATTTACAAAATAATGTAAGAGAATAGTGGATTGTCAAGAAACAGAAACTAATAATGAAATCTGTAAATCCTATGGCTGGAATCATCTAACCAGACAAATCTGTGGCTTAGAAATATCCATAATTGGATCTAAAAAGTTAATCCCGACAACTTACATTTCTACTATACAATTTGATATAATCTATCCCATTTCCACCAGATTGTGCATTCTGTTTAGGCTGACTTCCTACTTCATCCAGTAACTAAAAGAGGAAGTAGAAGAAATCTAACTACATCCAGAAGTCTTAGAACAAACAAACCATATTTCCCACAAAGACAAGAAAAAAAAAAGCTCCTGAGACATCAAACTGCTTCTAATTTTAAAACAGATGCAATTTGAAAGAGCTAGGTTGGTACCTACCGTGATTCATGGCGGAAACCACAAAGACAGGCAGCAAGTTAGAAAGAATGAACCAAATGCAGCAACAAAGCTTCTTCTTCATCATCATCACTATCATCACCAACTCTGCACAGATTTTGCTTTTAAGGATTTGAAAAGAGAGAAAAATGAACAAAAATCCGAAGTTCTTGAGATGTATTGTATCCTGCTTACCTTCTTATGACTAGCTAGTTATATTTATCTGTTATTAAAGGAGTGAAAATTGGACGAGAATGGTAAAAGTAAGGACTTTACTCTGCTTCTCCCTCCGAAATGGCCTTTGTATGTGAAGAAAGAGAGCATAAAGAACAATTTCTGAAAATGGGTTCTTCTCTGCTTTCGCCTTTGCTAACAAAATTATTTCCCAAGAAACTAAGAAAAAAAAAACAAATGAAAGGAAATAATAGACTTGTTTTCAGAACTGGGTTTTAGGCTTTTAGCTTCAATGAGCTTTCTTTATGAAGAAATTCAACAGAACAAAAGAATTTAAAAAAAGCTCCAACTTCAGTAGATAAATGGATTTGTTTGTGAAGAAACAAGAAAAACCAAGCAAGAAACGATATTTCAGGAAATTGGGTATTACTCTCTTAATCTCTAGCAATGCAGCATTTTGGTGCTATGGTGGTAATGGTGGAATCGACTGCAAGTTTCCCGGCAAAGGAGGGATGGTCGAGACGACATGATTGAAAATTGCAGACCCGAATACGAAAAGGAGAGACTGCTGGTCCCAGCTAGCCGTTTGTATGAGGTGGCCTCGGATTTCTTTTGATGGAGCGAAATCTGAGTCTCCTATAGTCATAATCCTACAGCTTTCGAACGTGAGATGGGTTCACGGATCATCAGAAGCTAATAATATAATAAGAGGATAACAGAGCACTTCGAATCCACAACGGGAACCGGAGGATACTGGGCAAATAGCAATACATCACGTCAGCATGACGCGTGGGACCTACGGAGTTGACGTGGTATATAATGATTGGCCTGGTATTACTAGTAAAACTGTAGAGGATCTAATAGGGATATTTATGATAATATGATAAGATGGGTTCACGGATCATCATAAGCCCACTAGCAGAGAGTCCGTGCTAAGAAGGGCATGCAAATTACACTCGAAGGCTGTGTTTGGTTGCACTGAATTGAATGATTTTCTTGAAAAATGATATGTGATGGCAAAATGTATTCTTTATTTTGGGGAAAAGGCAGAATTGCTAGGAAATATATGAATCAAGACGACCGATCTGTTTTTAGAAAGTAACTAGCGGGAACCCGTGCGATGCACGGGATTTTTTAAGCGGAAGTTAAATAATGAAAATGGTTATTTATTAAAATACCCTTTATAGTTTCATGGATTTACTAAAATCTACCCTATAGTTAAAATTTTACTAAAACATCACTTATAATTTGCAATGGATTTAATCAATTTTCCATTAAATGATAGTGGAAAATGACAGTGTTGACCATAATGTTCATTTAAATAAATTTAATCAAAAGAAAATAAAAATAAAAATACCATTTTTTCCCTTTATAAGACATGAACAATCACTTTATTGACTATATTTGGTTAATTTTGTTTTCTGTACAAAAAAGTGTTAAGGGTATTTTTGGAATAAAAAATCATGGACCTAATGGAAAAACAAACACTCCCTAATAAGTAAATAAGTTGTAAAATATGTAGGATGTTTTAATAAAATGAAAACTATAAGGTAGGTTTAAGTAAATATGCAAAACTGTAAGATGTGTTCTAGTAAATGACACTAACAGAATCACATAAGAGTATAAAATTGTTTTATATTTTCAAAATTTTAAATAATTAATAATTATTCATATTTTATATATTACTTTTAATAAATTTTTTATAATACAAAAAAATAATTAATTTCAGTTAGGTTTATTCATCAAACTGATGAAATCGACCAACCTGATCAACTCGACCCAATTTGTTTGGTTCTCTAGTATTTTAGGTCGGCTTTGGTTAAAAAATTTCCCAACTCGACCAAGTTGGTTCAATTTCACTTTGGCCATTTGTAAACCAACCAAAATCGAACGGCCTAACCATGGATATATATTAATATTTTATATTTTAAATAAATTTTTTAACATGGAAAAGTGGGACATTTCCCATATTTCTTAGTCTAAAATGTTTTATATCATAAATCTAATTTTTTAATAATTGCACTATAATTTTTAAGTTTAAATCTTTTAAACCGACCGATCAAACCAAAAAATCGACCCAAATTGATACAATTTGAGTGGGTCAGTTTTCACAAAAGTTCAGTTGGTTTTAGCTAACCAACTCCCCAACCTGACCAGGTCAATTTGGTTGGCCAAATAGCTTATGACCGAAACGAACCAACTCATGAACACTCATAATTCTAGATAAATTAATAGTATCATCTCTGATAAAGAACAATAGTTTAATCTCCAATAATTATTGAAAATTTATAGTGAAAATACACAATTATTAAAAATATATTGATAATAAAAAAATACAATAAGTACTAAAAATATATTAACTTAGTCAATAAATAGTATAATCTCAAATAATAGTTTAATCTCTAATAAATATTAATCAATAAGTTATAACAAAAATACAATAAGTACAATAA